AATTTTCACGCTTTTGCATTTAACATTGCACTGCTTTATTTTCAAATAAATAGTTCCCATTGAAATAATTTTTCCCTCGCTATAACCAACTAAATTAACGTCTGGTTTTTCTAGGTTTTCCACAGGAATGCTTAATTGTTTAAAATAATGCAAAGGTAAAATAGAAATATCCGCGCCAGTGTCTAATCTAAATGGTACCTTAATTTTATTATTTATGTATAAGTTTTGTATCCAATTTTGTTTATTATTACTTACAGAGTTGTTTTTTATGGTGAAAATGCTGAGTTCATCGTCTGAAACATCGCTAGAACTGGAAGAATTTTGCTGTTCTACATTGTTTACAAATTTTTTTCGATTGCACATTCGAGAAAAATGATTAAATTTGCTACATTTTTCGCACTGTTTACCAAAGGCTGGGCAGGCATTTAGCTTGTGCGATGTACCACATTTGTAACAATTATTAATAAAATTTTGTTTAAAATTTTGCGAGAAATTTGAAGAGTTAGGATGTTTACTTATCTTATTTCTATGGCCGCCATGTTGACGTTGAAATCCCTGATGTTCTTGACGTTTCTGCGACCAATGCGCATGCTCCTTGTTTGACGTTGAGGGACCATTTTGAAACTTGAATTTGCCGCCTTTTTTGCCCATTTTTACCATGCTGACCTCTGATTGACCTTTGGATGATTCTCCCATGATTTCCATTCTTTTCGCGGTTGCTTCTGCAGTCCTGCAAGTTTCCAGTGCCCTTGCAAGAGTGAGGTTATTCTCCCGAAGCAGTTTGTCCTTCATGGCCATGTCTGAAATCCCCAAAATCAGACGGTCTCGAATCAGGCTTTCTTCCAGGGTACTAAATTCACAGCTGCTAGCTAACTGTCTCAGCTCTGTGACATAGTCGTCGTAGCTTTCTTCTTCTTTCTTGTTTCTTGTGTTGAAAATATATCTTTCGTAGGTTATGTTCTTCGTAGGAGTGAAATATTCAGAAAATGCCTCAATTATATCTTTGCAATGGGTTTTATTTTTTCCTTGCTTCCATTGAAGGTTGTTGTAAATCTTTAGGGCTTTATCTCCAATTCGATTTAGTAAGATAAAACCTTTTTCTTCTTCTGTTTCCCCATTTTGTTTGCTAGCTTTTAGATATATTTCGAATTTTTGTTTGAAGAATGCCCAATTTTCAGCCATGTGCCCATTGAAACTCAGCTCACCTGGCGGGATTGCGTGTTCTTTGCCTGACGCCATGATGATGATGCTTCTTTTTTCTTTTCAGCTTGCTTTAACTTATCGCGATTTTGCCGAATTTACTTAATTTAGATGCGTGTTTTCGAGAATTCTGACACCATATCGTATTTTCACTGTTTTGTTTTTTACTTTTACTTAATAAAGATATTTGACTTCAATTTTATTTCTTAAAATTATCGATGTGAGGGAGCGAAAATAAAAACATGTTGCTCGGTGCAAGCCAGACCAGAAAGAGATTTTTTAGATGAAGTATCTTTTGACAATGGTCATGCGCGATCTCGTGCGCAATATGTATTTAATAATGTTCATTTGATTTCAAGTTCAAATTCAAATATCACAAATGATAATACTTAAATTAAATACCAATGTTATTTTATTACTATGGAGAGGTATCCGTGAAGAAATTTGTTGTTTTGTTATTATGTCATAAAAACCACACAGTTCAGATACTCAGAAAGAAGCATTTTCATGGCCGGATTAAGCTTTCATGGGGCCCGGGGCTAGTGAAATTTTAGGGGGCCCTTTATAAATTAAGTGCAAAAAAATATACAGGGTGTCCCATGACGTTTTTCCCAGGTAATAACTTCGGAACGCATCATCCAATATAATTGAAATTTTGAAGATGTGGGTAACTTTTTATGCCGCTTCTACCATGGTCATCCAATTTCACCACTTTCGCTTCAATTTCGGTCAATTGACGTCAACTTTCGAATCTTAAATGTAACTCATGGTATGTCATGGCATTTTACGTTAGAAAATTAAATTTCAAAATCGTCAATGCTTTTTGTTGAGGCTTTGTTGAAGAAAATGATAAAAAATTATACAGTGGAATATACGATGATGCGTTCCGAAATTATCATTTGGGAAAAACCGCGTGGGACACCCTGTATATAGAAAAAGACTATATTCCTGATATAACAGTCTGACACTGCTATACCTATAATTATCTATTCACAATCCGATGTCCAAAGGTGAAGCTAAAATTTATCACCTTTCATTGCTAAAAGGAAAGGTGATAAATTTACCTTTATCTTTGGACTACGGATTGTGAATAGGATATACATGTTTCACAAAATTGTGTTAAAATATCATTTTCTACTACGTAAAGTACTCACTTTACGCACTATTCAGAAGACGTAAAATTTCACTTCACGCACTAGTGCGTTAAGTAATTCACTTCACACACTAGTTCGTAAAGTACGGTCACTGACAGATGTTGACACTGTCAATTTAATATTTTTCTGTTAAATTACTTCACACACTAGTGCGTAAAGTGAAAATACTTTACGCACTAGTGCCTAAAGTATTTGTCTAAGTTTTTTTTTTACACATATTTGATTGGTACTAGTAGAAAAAAATTTATATGCAATACGTGCGTAAAGCACCTTTTTTCACTCATGTGATTGTCGTCAAAATTCACATTCGTGAAAAAAGGTGCACTTTACACATTTGCATAATAGCTATTTATACAATAAGTTACGAAATGAGCGTCTTTTAGGCACGCGACGTGAAAATTGTCCAACGAGGCAAAGCCGAGTTGGACAACACGTCGAGTGACTAAAAGACATCGTTTCGTAACGTATTGTATACAAGATTTTTTCTACTGGCATTTTATAATAAAAAAACACAATTTTATTTCATGTGAATAAGTCGATTACACCCAAAATCTTTGTTACCTGCTTTTACTTGACACCTGACACTTTTCATGCGATTTTCTTTTCAAAATTCGACATCAATAATTAAAATCCTAGAAAGTAGGTAATAACACAAAGTTCTGTTTTGAGTAACCCAAACGTTCAATTCAGTAATTCCATTTTCAATATTCATAATAAATACAAAACAAAATTCAAATATGTGTTTAGTGTATTTTTTATTTCTGAATAATGAATGACACTTTTAGGCACTGGTGCTTAAAAATTACTTTTACGCACTCATAAGTCACTTTTACGCATTCAAAAGTCACTTTTACGCACTGAGTGCCTAAAAGTAACTTTCACGCACTCAGTGCCTAAAAGAATGTCGTTTCAAAACTGAAATGACAATCGAAAAGTTGCTATTATGAAACGTCAGTAGAAAAATAACTATTTTTCTACTACCGTGCGTTATGTGCTCACTTTACGCACTATTCAGAAGACGTAAAATTTCTCTTCACGCAATAGTGCGTAAAATAGTTCATTTCACACACTAGTGCGTAAAGTAATATCAATGACAGATGTCGACCTGTCAAATTACTATTTTTCTGGTAAATTACTTCAAGCACGAGTAAAGAATTTGTCTAAATTTATTTTTTCACACATATTTGATTGGTAGTAGAAAAAAATTTGTGTGCAATACGTCCGTAAAGCACCTTTTTTCACTTCACACACTTGTTGCATAAATAACTATTTTTCGTAGGTAACTTAAATTTACCTAACAAATTCTTGTATGACATCAGTAAATTCTAATTCCTTCAGAAAGTCTCTGTAGTCTTTCTATGCACATCAATGTTAAGGCAGACAGGCGTTTTTTCTGCATTGTTGTTCTATATTTATTTTTAATTCAATAAATTTTGCGAAACATGACGCGAAAGTCTAGTGATCTAATATTTATTGTTTGTCCACGGGCCCTTGACCAGCAGAAGCCTCAATTTCGAAAGTAGGGCCCCTCCGGGGCCCTACTGGACTGCGGGGCCCGGGGCTGCAGCCCCGTTAGCCCCCCCCTTAATCCTGGCATGAGCATTTTTCCTAACTTTAACAAGCCGCCATTTCGGCATGGATAGTAGCATCTTAAAACTTTGGGGATATAATCTTAATAAGAGTAGCTACCAAATGATGCATCACTCGACCCCCCTTTCCATTTGAAATTTTGGGGGTACCTGTCACAGCCGCTAAGAGGTTGACAGGTAGACGGTGAAAATTCCAATGAAATGTGAAACAAAAATTAATGTGTCCGGGCGATTTTTGATTAATTTAACACTTGAAAAAACCGTTGTGGGAAGTTTGTCGTGCCCCACCCTGTATATCACATAAAATCGCATAACTCATGATAAAATATTAGTGGGCTGCGATATTCTAAAAATCTCGAAAACGTCCCGAGGTACTAAGGTACTCTTCTAAACTGAATACTAAAAATCTACTTAACCCTCTCTCCAGCAGAATGGTGTGAACCCAAACTTTCGCAAAAAATTCGCCAACTTATGTTTCACCCTGTATCTTTTGGCAGGTGGACGGAAATCTGTTAACAACTGGAAATTGAATAGCAATTAGAGCAGCCTCTCACTTCTGAAAATTTGAACAAAATCGGCCTACTAGATTTTGACTTACAGTCTTACAGAAAGTGACCAAAAATTAGGGTGTTCGAGTTCGATTGATGCGTAGTTTATATCTGAAATATGTTTTTTTGAATCAAGATGTACCTATAAAATAAAATATTTAAAAAAGTTGTGCTCACGTTTAAATGTTTTTCTAGAACTATGAGTTCTCACCTGCATGACTTAAGGCTATATTTTTTGTGATATCATTTAGATTAGTTGTTAAAACTTCTTTTTTTTTCTCTAGATTTATATTCCAAATAGCCTAAATCCACTTGGCATTATGAAATAAAAAAATTATACATTTTAATTTGTGTAGGTTATATTAAGAATATCAGACACTTTGAGGCACATCCGTAACATATCTTATTAATCAACATTACAGTATACTAATAATAACAATTTTAACCTTCATACAAATAAAAAGCTTTAATTCTTCTTACATTAATCAAAATTATATTTTTAATTTTAGGTAATCGTTAATGCAAGTACCGTCTCAGACCACCAACGCATCGACTGGGCTAATGCCAACCATCCAAAACATTGGTCAAAATGGATCCACCTTCCAATTTAATTTTTGTTTGAATTTTGAGCTTATTTTGGGTAACTGGTAAATTTGAAGTTGTTATTTTTTCACACAAATAATTATTATTCTCTAACATAAAATGTACCACAATCCCATCGATTATTTGATTTTATTAAACCCTCGATTAATCTTGGGTTTGTATAGAGGCGTACTGCCGACCCCTATATTATTAGAAAACAAATAAAATCATTTAAAAAAAACTACTAAAAATATTTTGTTTAGTGTACGCATATTATAGAATTTAGTTTCAATATATATTTGATGCGAGCAATTATTCTAATATGAGTTTTGTGGGGAATGCAAAAATTCAAGTCAAAATATGCAACACTCAAAATTGATTCTGGTTGTGAGAATGCCAGAATTAAAAGAAAAAATGCTAAATATAAGTAAAGAGTGAGAAGTGCGTGCGTGATTGCAAGTCTGGCTGTTCTTATTTAATTAATAATAATTATAAAACAAATATTTACCCTTGCCTCCGAATGTTTGAGAAAATATAGACGCCTGTCTAGAATTTAAAAGCTGTTCACGAGGCAAGAGTGGAAAAAAAAAATTGCAAAAAAATCTCCCAAAAAGAGTTTTTAGGATTAAAGTTATAAGTAAAAAACTCACAGGGGAGTTTAAATGTGCAGCGATAGCGAATAAATATCGCCGACTTTTGAATGTGTGTCATGGAACTAGGTTTAAATTTTAAAAGAAGTAGGATGCGTTATGCGTTACACTTGAGTATTTAAATTTGAATAACAGAACAGATGTTTGAATTAATTTAATTGTTAAGCCAGTCTGAGAAAATTTGATACCAAAAGGTACATGCTCTTAATTGGGTATTGTTTATTTTTGCTGAATTAGTCTGAGTGAAATTATGGTTTCTTAGGCCCGATTTATTCATCTTCAGATAAACTTGCTGGTAGCTATCTGCAAGATTCTTCTATAATAATTCTATTGGTTGGCGCATAACTGTCAGATTGCATGCCTGGCAGTTTCTCAGAAGGTGAATAACGGGCCCTTAATGGCATAAGTCATGAGAGTGTTAATTTTCTTTTGATAACATACATAAAACAGTTTTTAATCTAAAATGCTCAAGTCAACGATTATAGGAAACCAAATATTTACACTAAAATCAGAAGGATATTTTAATGGACTACTGCGGAAGCAAAGCATTTTATAGATTTAAATAGTTGCAATGTTTATTTGTTATTGTGAAACACAATGCAAATTATGTCTTTACAAATATCCCATCGAATTTGTGATATTTGTCTGGGCGTGAATTAGGTTGTTGAAAAATTAACCTGTGATTGTTTTGATTTCTCCTAAATCCCGTTCATAAGTTTAAGGGGCCCTATTTGTATATTTATAGCTTTAAGTAAAACGTATATTGTCGTACTTTGTGTTGCATATTTTACTAATTTTTTTTTAGTACTGATTTTTGTAAAATATGCACAAGCAAAAATGAGATAATTTATATACCCAAGTGGGGCGGTTTTTTTTTTGAGGTTTGAATTTTTGTTCCTCGATGAAGTTAAATCGAGGACAAAATTGGTGTGTTTGAATGAACGAACTTACTATGTATGTAACTCTCTAATTTTATATTCGATATTTTTGTTTTGTTAACAAATGTAGCAATTAAACGTAAAAAGTTTCCGTCTCTACCCCCTTGATTTACACCTACTTTTATTATTTTGTAAGTCGTATAATTAACTACTATAGTTAAGTGCATTGAAAATCGACGGAAACCTCAAAAAAAGTAAATAAATAAAAAAAATGAAATAATAAGTAAATTAATGTGTAAAAGTATAATAAATAGGCCAACTTGTAAAACTATCTCGATTGTTATATGAGTTCAGTGTAATAATAATTAATAATTTCTCATCAGTTATTCTTAGTAATAAATTATTAGTTTATTTTTAGGCTGTAACGCCAGGATATTTTTAAGTTTTTTTTTGTAACTTGAACAGTTTCAAAACTGTTGAGTTATTACAGAAATAAAACGTCTCAAAAAATAGTAGTTTTTATTTTTCATGGCTCACATTGCCTCTTTATTTCCAAAAGTATGCATTATCTCAATGGTTAAGTTGCTGTATATTGGGTGCGTTAAGTTGCCCCCCCCCCCCCCCTCCCCCAGCCTTAACCAAATGCCGCGTTGCCACTTTTTCTTTTCTTCCCTACAAGATGCTATCATCAAATTTAAAATCTGACGTTTCATCCATCATCAACTTTATTTTTTTTTTATATGACTGGATTTTTTATTTCAGATTTTTAGAGCTTCTAATGTAATTCGAAAAAATATATACAGGGTGTATATTTTAAGTGATACCACTATTACTATATCCGAAACGGTAAGAGCTACAAGGTCGGTTAAATTAGAGAAAAGTTGCCTTTTTTGATGCCCATTCAAAACTTGTTTACAGTGTTGTCAAATTCCTTTTAGTTTATGAAAGACAGGGCAATTTCTTAAAAACGCCAAAAACTATTTCATCAACTATTTCGAAAACTATTGATATTCGAGACACAATTTAAATTTGAAATTTTATAATTTTTTTCGCTCTACATTATGGCATCTTCAAATTTTAAATCCGACGTTTCGTGATCCAGCTTTCATCATCAACTTCATTTTTTTTAATACGGACTTGGTCTTTTTATGTCATTTTTACAGAGGGAATAAAAGGCACTTTCTAAAAATGACATAAAAAATCCAGGTCCGTATTTAAAAAAATGAAGTTGATGGTAGCTCGATTACGAAACATCGGATTTGAAATTGGATGATACCATGTTGTAGAGCGAAAAAAATTATAAAACTTTCAAATTTAAATTGTGTCTCGAAAATTAATAGTTTTCAAAATAATTGATGGAATAGGGCGTTTCTTAGAAATCACCCTGTATTTCATAAACTAAAAACAATTTGGCAACACTGTAAACGAGTCTTAAATGGGCATCAAAAAAGGCAACTTTTTTCTAATTTAACCGACCTTGTAGCTCTTACCGTTTCGGATATAGCAATAGTGGTATCACCTAAAATATACACCCTGTATATATATATATATATATAAATAATTTGGAGAGGATATCGGGTAGCGGTCTGGACTAGTGAAACTCATTTGTTTTTATACTCAATATTTCGTCTTATATTTTAGACTTCATCAGGAGAAACTACAAGAAAAATAATGAATAAAAATATTTTGGTATAAATAACAGAAATGGCAGTTTAAAATGAATTGTACAATAATAAAATAAGGAACAAAAATAATAAATAAATTAAATATTACTTACAACACAGAGCTAGTCGAGATTTTTGTATTTTCCTATTTTTAATAGATTTTGATGTCTTTTTTTAGAGAATTTTTTTTTTTTTTTGCAACGAAATTGTCAGTCAAAGTCTACCGAAAAATTAAAATTTCAACTGGTTATTGTGGTATGATCTAAGAATATGAACGTTCCATATAATTTTTACAATAGTAAATTATTGAGTTAGGTTTAAAATATTACAATAGATGTTACTTAATTGGTTAGTATCAGATTTATTATTTAATGAATGTTCTGTTTTTTGAATATAACACATTTCCAAAAAAAGGCGACTTTTATAGTTATTTTCTTTTCTCAAAATTTTTACCTCGTTGAAATTAAACTGATGTCCTGTTTTTTGGAAATGCTCAACAACAGCACAAGAGTTCTTTCCCACTCTACAATCGCTCCGGTGTTGTGTTAAACGTTGTTTGAGCCATTGTGCTGTTTGGCCAACGTAACAACCTTGACATTCCATGCATGGAATTTTGTAAATTACATTATTGTTGTAAAGTAAAGGAGTTTTATCTTTTATTTTAGAGTATAAGTTTCTGATTGTCAAGTCATTGTATTTTGCAATTTTTATGTTAGGAAAGTCTTTAAAGAGTGTTATAATTTGGTGTGAGAAATCCTTAATGTAAGGTAGTTTTTTGTATGTTATCTGTATATTTTCAGGTTTCGTTGGGCCGTCAAAAATGTTGGAATTGTAAATTAATTTTGTCAAGATATGTTTTGGATAACCATTGTTGATAAAAATTTTGAAAAGAGTTTTTAAATTGTCTTGTAAAAATCTCTCATCACTGATATGTGTTAACCTATTTTTCATTGCGATAACAGTATTATACTTTTGGTTTTTTGGGTGGTTTGAGAAATAATTAATGAATCTACCGGATGCAGTACTTTTTTGAAACCAGTCTAAAATAATTTTGTTATCTTCTGTACGGATGACTTTTGTGTCAAGAAAAGGTAAACAACGATCTATTTCTTGTTCCACTGTAAATTGAAGTTTTTTGTGAAAAGAATTAAATATATTCAAGGTCACTGCAATCTGATCAGAAGGAACTGCGCAGATTAGATCATCAACGTACTTGAATATGAAGGGGAGATTGAAAGGCGATTTTGGAATGGTCTTGTCTAAAAAGTGATCCAAAACAATCATGGCTAAAATAGGGCTAATTGGTGACCCCATTGGTGTACCAAAAATTTGTTTATAAAAGTTATTTTTGAAACTAAAATACGTGTTGTTGAAGGTGAAGTCAATTAATTTTAAACAACTGTTTTTTGATAGTGAAGTGTAAGTTTCTATTTTGTCCCATTTCTCTCTTAATATTTCTAAAACAAGATCAAGTGGAATATTAGTAAATAATGATACTGCGTCGAGAGAGATTAAAATATAATTGTTAGGTAATTGAAAACCGTTAATAATGTTAACAAATGTAAAAGTGTCTTTTATGTTGTAGTTCGTGTTATCAGTAAATGCATTCTGTAAAATTCGAGAAAGGAACTTTGACAAATTGTATGTTATACTGTTAATTGAACTTACAATGGGACGCAGCGGAATGTTGGGCTTATGTATTTTAGGAAGACCGTAAAATTTTGGACATGTAGCATTGTAAATCATTAGAAATTTTGCTTCATTTTCATGTATTTCTTTTTTAGATTTAAGTGATTTTATTAGGTTGTTGTAAGTTGTTTGAATAGTTGTAGTGGGATCTTTAGTTAGTTGGATGTAAGTGGAATCATCATGTAAAAGTTCCAATGCTTTTTGTAAGTATTCTTCCCTATTCATTGCTACAGTGCATCCACCTTTGTCAGACTGTAAAATATACAAATCAGGGTTCAGTTTCAAAAATGCTTTAGTTTTGTTGAAAATATTGATAAATGGTGATTGGTGTAAATTCTGAGCTTTGTGGTAGTAGTTAGTTATAATGTTAGTAGCCTTTGCTCTCAATATGTCTTTAGAATTGGTTGGAATATCATCAATAATATTTTCTACATCGGCTAGAATCTGATCAAATTTTATTTCTTTTTTTGAAGTAGGTATGCTAAATTTTGGTCCCAAAGATAAAAAATTTGATATGTCGCATGGAATGTCAATGTTAGATATGTTTTTGAACCATTTCTTATTATCTAAAAACAACTTTTCTTGTTTGGAATTATAGTCTTTAAGTCTATTAAATTTATCAATATTCTTGTCCCTAATTTTTTTGAAAAAGTTGTTATAGTTATTGGTCAATCTACTATTGTATTCATCGAACAATTCACCTGGTAAAATTTGTCTCAATTTTGTTTTTGCTTCATTTATACGGTTTTGGATTTGTGAAATGCCGTTGCAAGTTATTTTAATTTCCAGACTTAATGTTTTTCTGCTTAACTTAAGGATAAAATTGTCCACTTTATTAGTCATAACAATGTTACTACCTGTGAAAAGTGTAACTTCCAAATTTTTTCTACTGTTCTTAACATGGTTAGGGAAAATGTTCTCTTTTCTGCATCGTAAAAGAAAGATTCTTCTATTCAATAAATTTGCCAATTTCTGTTTAAGGTTGGACCATTGTTTTTGAGACAAATTTTACCAGGTGAATTGTTCGATGAATACAATAGTAGATTGACCAATAACTATAACAACTTTTTCAAAAAAATTAGGGACAAGAATATTGATAAATTTAATAGACTTAAAGACTATAATTCCAAACAAGAAAAGTTGTTTTTAGATAATAAGAAATGGTTCAAAAACATATCTAACATTGACATTCCATGCGACATATCAAATTTTTTATCTTTGGGACCAAAATTTAGCATACCTACTTCAAAAAAAGAAATAAAATTTGATCAGATTCTAGCCGATGTAGAAAATATTATTGATGATATTCCAACCAATTCTAAAGACATATTGAGAGCAAAGGCTACTAACATTATAACTAACTACTACCACAAAGCTCAGAATTTACACCAATCACCATTTATCAATATTTTCAACAAAACTAAAGCATTTTTGAAACTGAACCCTGATTTGTATATTTTACAGTCTGACAAAGGTGGATGCACTGTAGCAATGAATAGGGAAGAATACTTACAAAAAGCATTGGAACTTTTACATGATGATTCCACTCACATCCAACTAACTAAAGATCCCACTACAACTATTCAAACAACTTACAACAACCTAATAAAATCACTTAAATCTAAAAAAGAAATACATGAAAATGAAGCAAAATTTCTAATGATTTACAATGCTACATGTCCAAAATTTTACGGTCTTCCTAAAATACATAAGCCCAACATTCCGCTGCGTCCCATTGTAAGTTCAATTAACAGTATAACATACAATTTGTCAAAGTTCCTTTCTCGAATTTTACAGAATGCATTTACTGATAACACGAACTACAACATAAAAGACACTTTTACATTTGTTAACATTATTAACGGTTTTCAATTACCTAACAATTATATTTTAATCTCTCTCGACGCAGTATCATTATTTACTAATATTCCACTTGATCTTGTTTTAGAAATATTAAGAGAGAAATGGGACAAAATAGAAACTTACACTTCACTATCAAAAAACAGTTGTTTAAAATTAATTGACTTCACCTTCAACAACACGTATTTTAGTTTCAAAAATAACTTTTATAAACAAATTTTTGGTACACCAATGGGGTCACCAATTAGCCCTATTTTAGCCATGATTGTTTTGGATCACTTTTTAGACAAGACCATTCC